GGGGGGGGGTGCATTCATTGGCAGACATTGGCAAAATTATATACTTTATAATAAGGAATTGTGCATTTCAAAGTCCATAGAGTGAGAATACCCCAAACGAGCTCTGATGAGGATAACGATGATAGTAGTGGTGATAGTAGTGGTGATAGTAGTGGTGATGTGGACACCGACGACGACAATTTCGATAATCCTGGTGTTACAATATTAGGTTAGAGCGTGAAGTGTCACCTTTGGAACCCATGGCAACCCATCACTCCATATAACCACCGCTTCCCACAATTCCGCCAAATTTGGTTTATTCAACAATTTATAGCTTTAAACAAAAGACATTTTAATTTTAAATAATCGCTACAGTGGGAACTCGATGCTGTGAACCTTCTATGCTGTGAACTACTCTATGTTATGAACCATAAACGAAAACCTACACCACATAGACTTAATGTTAAAACCACCTCCATGTTGTGAACAACTCTTTGTTATGAACCAAAAGTCCTGGACCCAATCTATTCACAGCACAGAGTTTTGCCTGTATTTGTATTACTTATTTAATCCATAGCTTAAGAAAACATTTATTATTTTTTACATTTATGTATTTTTACGCTTCATTTGACACATTTTTAAATTACTTTTAGCGTAAACCCGAAGAGAGCCTGCATTTGGAGCCCACGAAGCGATCGAAACAATATATATGTAGAGCTCTGAAGGATTTGAGTTGAGGTGAGAGTCGGAGTGAGAGTTGTGTCGCTATAGTCGTGGGCTTCGGTTTACGGCTCTCTTTGGATCAGTTTTGTCGCTAATATTTAAACACTTTTTGTATTTATATTGATTTAATTCGCGAAATGTTAATTAAAAACTTGATTTAATAACAAAAATAGTGTTTATTATTGTGTGAAAAGAGTGAGAGCGTGCCCTACCATCTGGAGCTACGCGACAACACACCCACTGTCACCGCCAACTGATCCCATACACCCCACACCCTAACAATGTAATGACCAGTGAATGGCTGTATAAACCCAAGTATGTGTCAAAATTAGACAACAATCAGTTAACTCTCACAATATGTCAGTATATAATTAATAAGTTTCTCTCACATAATAGATTTTAAAAAACAATTTACTTGATTTTTTTAATTGCGACCACGTTATGTTTGAAAGTTTAAAATGATTTATTCCTATGGAATGAGGTGTTATATAAACGACGCTTTCTTTATAAATATTGCCAATAATTTCCCAAAACTTCAATATTTGTCGATTCGTTGCCATAAAATAACAGCAAATATATTGAATTCATTGTCATTATTACCAAAAATACAGACCATTAGACTGTTTGACGATAACTATAGTATTGAATGCAAAAACAACAATAAATTTATTCTCAAACCTCTCAACGATTAGAAATCAACTAAAATTATTAGCGTTTATATTAATGCGTGAAAAAAATTAATTGAAAACTCGTTGCAATTATTTTTCATTTATTGTATTCTTATATTTGATTGTAAAATATAAACACTTTAATATTTTTGTGATAAATTGTACGCAAATTACTGTTTGTATTATTTTATAAAAGTTTATTTTTTTCGTCACAATTATAAAGACATTAATAACTTATTTTTAAAAATGTTAAGCAATTTATATTTATTAAACACTTACTAAATAAACTAACAATTTATAATTTAATCAAATATAAAATAAATTGCAACGCAAAACGCTATGTTTAAACACAACACATCAGACACTGTAATAAATATTTGATAAATAAATAAATAAAATAAATAAATAAAACTGTTTTGAACTAAATTTTAATGGAAAATAAATTTTTTGTTTAATCTATTTAAAACTAAACTAGATTAAAAACCAAAGGCAAAAAACCTACCTAGATACTAAACTTTATTAAACAATAGCCAACGTTATTAATAAACACACCATTAGTAACGTATACAACAAACACCGCACAAAACTCCCCATAAATAACACAACTAATCACACAATCAGTTCCCATAGAAAACACACAAAAGGGGTCACAAAAACACACTAAAAACGCACGTAATTTACGTACAAATGAGTGACACATAAACCAAAACAACAGACCATTGAATAACACAATACAGGAGTTGTGTCAACACAACCACAACAACAACACAGACACTGACTTCAAGACCTAACATGAAGTCCAACTCCGGAACCGTTGGCAGTAATGGTGGCCAACGGGTGGACACATTCGCGGAACTGGTGGCCACTCTATACGCGACCCGATTGGCGGTTATGGCCAGCGATGGCACACAAAGACACTGTCGACAGGCGTTGGACACTACCATAGATCGGGTGCTCAACCACTTCGGACACGTGCGTCGACTCTCACGTGAGTATATCATCAGCTGATCAGTGGTGACCACACACACTGCCCACCGCCTGTCTATCACTTACCACATCCATTATCACTAACACCTGTTTCACTCTCTCACTACATGTTTACCACCGATGTCTACACCGATATCTACTATTGATGGCTACCATTGATGTCTTCAGTGGCCCTGAAGGACAACTCGGCGAACAACGCGCACCTCATCCATGAGCTGCGGCTTCAGTTCAGTGATGGCCAGTCGTTGAAACACCGGCCAACTCAGGCGCAGCTTAAGAAACTGCAGTTTGATTTAATCGCTGCGATGGCGCCCGACATCACCACCACATCCGACGACACCGACACCGATGAAGACAACTGTCCCACACCTACCGACAGCCCCAACACCGTCAACACTAACCCTGTGTACAGTCACCCCTCTGTGTCCCCCACGCCGTGGTTTGATAAGTGGAAACACATGTTCATTGAGACCTATGAGCAGTCGGACCACGACTTTATTGGCGCCCACTTTGGCTGCTTCTTCGTCATCACTGATCACGAGTTGGAGAGCTATAAGGATATTATCGCCTCATTTATCACACAGGTATACAACCCCTCCACACCCACATCTCTCTCTCTCTCTCTCTCTCTCTCTCTCTCTCAACAATCTGTTATTAAATAAATAAAATAAAATAAGTTAATTATTACTATAAAAATGAATAAAACAGTGGTATTGGCGCTGATTATGATTGTGGCCGTAGTGTTGGTCAGTGCGCACGGAATAGACAAACCTAACATGGAATATAGAGACTGGAAAGCTTACCTGTAAGTATTGAATTGTGTATTTTAATTTGATCATGGCCATATGAACATATTTGATGCAATAGTCGTTTGCATGTTTTGTCTCATCATTACTCGATACCCCTTTTGGTATTACCTATACTTGTATTAAATAACAAAATATTTAATTCATAGCGGCGCTCAACGCCCGGCACCATTTTCAACCACTCCTGTCTGTCACCAAAAAACACACAATTATTACCAAACAATTATGCACATCTCTCTCTCTCTCTCTCTCTCTCTCTCGGTCTGTAAGCTATCATCCATTTATTGTGATCACAACCACTGTATTGACTATTGTTTATGTTGTCAAACAAAGTGATTAACACACAGACAAAACTAATCGTAATGTCTTTGTCATTATCACCTGTGGATCAGATCAAACAGATGTCATGGATCCGTTGGCTGCAGCCAGACTTCTTGCGCTACTACATAGTGCTGTCGGAACAGTCACTCCATACCCACCAATCCATGAATACACCCAAAGGCCAACTCTTCAAAGAGTTACAGTCAGTGTATCCCAACTCCTATTGGCTACAAATGGACGGACAGCCGCCGCAGACCACCGCCGATGACTACACCGACAGCACCGGCGATGTGTTCAACGACAGCACCACTCGGTCAGTGGTTCGGTGCGAGTCTAGCGACAGCTTTAACTACACGTCCCGCTCGTCGCCGGTGGGGCTGGAGTTGGGCGGCGACCCACTGATGGCCAGCGGCGGCAAACCTCATCACCAGAGCGCCGCTCGACTGAGCAGCGGTTCCAGCGACCAGTCCATCACCAAATCGCTGCACTCGCTGTCACTCAACGACTTGTGTCAACAGTATCTTCAGGAGTCGACCCAACGCTCATCATCACCGGCGCCGCCACCGAAATACGCCGGACTTCACGGCGCAGTCGACGCAATGCTTCGGGAGTTTATCGCCAAACACCTGATCCCGTGGGCAGAGAAACACATCAAACTATTGGCCGACGCTGTGGCCAAACGCACGGGCTTTCGGCGCTCCCTCTTCTACAACACCAAACACTTCCTAAACTCCATGTCTTCGTCAACAGTACTTCCCTCTCGAGGCGGCGGCCAATCGGCGGTCGTATATCTGCCCGAAGCACCGGAGATGCAACTCAGAAAACTGGGTGATCTGGCCATGTGTTTGACGGCCTATGAACTCGCCTATCAGTCCTACTACTCGGCCAAAAAGGACTACCAGACAGAGCAGGCGTGGCTTCACTTCGCGGCCGCCACAGAGGGCGCCGCCATTGCCTCCTATTTCACGCCCCGATTTCAGCGCCACTACTTTGAACAGTCCATCACATGCTATGTGGACACGTGTCAGGCCATGTCATTGGCCACCAGAGCCACAATACTGGCCACCGAAGCCACGCGTTGGGTGTATCCCAACGAAGCGGCGAATCTGTTCATTCGGATGACCGGCGATGACAGCGATCTGCGGTCAGCCCTGTTCTTAGAGCAGGCGTCGCAATGCTTTGTGGCCGCCGGCCATCGCACCCGCAAATCGGCCTTTCATTACGTGTTGGCCGGCCATCGATACAACCGGTGCGGACTCAAGCAATACGCTCTCCAATCCTATCGTCGCTTTCGGGGCCGTCAGTGGACAGCGGCTGCCGATCACGTGAACCTAACCGTCGCGCGACTGTATCTCTCTCTATGGGCGGCCAAACCGGCGGTGTTTGACGACTACCGGCGCCGCGGATTAGAGCTGTTGCGAGTGAACGCTTCCAAACACACCTTTTTTCATGAATTTGTACGCGAAGTGAAGCGCGATATCGAGTTGACGGCCAATAGTGGCGGCGCCGATACGCCCGACACTTACCACTATATAGACGTGCCGTTTGTTCAGTCCATTGTCTGCGAGAACGGATCCGCACCACCGCTGGTGACCGCACCCGCACTAAGAGGACTACAACCACAACCACAGCAACCAATTGAGCCGATGGTGTGTTTTGTTGGCGAAGAACTCACATTCAAACTGTCGCTGAAAACACCGTTCGCTTATGTCTTACATCGACTCCGACTGTACGCCAACACCAATAAAAACTTGATTTAATAACAAAAATAGTGTTTATTATTGTGTGAAAAGAGTGAGAGCGTGCCCTACCATCTGGAGCTACGCGACAACACACCCACTGTCACCGCCAACTGATCCCATACACCCCACTTAGCATTATCTTAAAGTACATTTACTTATCAATTTAAGTGAATATGATATAAGGGAATTTCGATTTAAAGTAGTTTAACTGTATTTATGAATACGTTAACATTATTGAAATTCTATTTAAATAATTTTGATTTAAACGTATATCAACTTAAGCGTTAGGTTTTACTGAATGAATAACATTACTTGAGATTTATTTTAATGAATTAAAATATAAAACCAAAATAAATGTATTCCTCACCGCTACGCGTTTGTGGCACTACAACCGGGCGCTCAACGCCCGGCACTATTTTCAACCACTCCTGTCTGTCACCAAAAAACACACAATTATTACCAAACAATTATGCACTAATGTGTGCCATAAACTCACCCTGATGGTGTTCTCATAAACAATTCGTGTCTGATTATCGCCTCTGCTATATATTTCTGGCTGTTTTTTGTGGGGGCCGTTGGGGGCGAATAATAGTATATAGTTTAAATCAATGTATTTTAAGTGAACCACAACGACAAATTAAATGATTATTAAATAGTCATAGTCCCCCCCCCCCCC